ACTTAAAAAGGCAATGTTCTTAGAGTGGGGTCAGCGTACTTAAAGGGGCAATGCGCGTCTCTCTCTGACACACACGGTGTGTGTGTGTCTGTCTCTCTCTGCCATGCTGTCTCCCCTCCCTCCATTCGTGTTGACTTGTAGAGTGTGAGGCTACATTAGCAACAATGTGTTAACCCTTGAGGGTTCAGCCAAGTGCTAGTTCATCATTTAGCAGTAAGGCATTCCCTGGGCAATATCCCACCCTCTGACTCCACCACCTCAACCAAGCTTCACAATCATCATCGCTGTGTACAGTATTAAACTGTTTATTTAAAACTTATACTGTGTATATATGTGTGTGTGTGTATACATATATATATAAAATATAGTCTTTTGTCTAGCAAAAAAAATTTCCCTGGACCCTAACCCCCCACCCCCCGTTTACATTAGTTCTTATGGGGAAATCTCCATATGGAATCTCCATCTCTGGAGATATTTAAGAGTAGGTTAGATAAATGTCTATCAGGGATAGTCTAGACAGTATTTGGTCCTGCCATGTGGGCAGGGGACTGGACTCGATGACCTCTCGAGGTTCCTTCCAGCCCTAGAATCTATGAATCTATGAAATTGGATTCGCTTAACATCGTTTCGCTTAAAGTGGCATTTTTCAGGAACAGAACTACAGTATGAAGTGAGGAGTTACTGTACTTGGATATTAGATTAGTGTGACGGGTTGTAGCTCAGATTTATGGAAGGCTTCATGGGGCAAATGTTCATTTGCCAGAACAGTCCTTTTCTATTTAATTTTGAGCTTTTTCTACCCCTTGTTGTGTGATTTTTTTTTCTTTGAACAATTGCAATGAACAAAGGCTGAGGATGCGAGCTAGAGTCACACTCCCAGAGGCAGACACTGAAATGGGGAAGTAGGTGACTGCCTGATCCCTGCAGTGATGTGAGACACAGTCAGGAGCATAGGCACCGACTCCGTGGGTGCTCTGGCTCTGGAGCACCCATGGAAAAAAATTGGTGGGTGCTTTGCACCCACCGGCAGCTCCCCGGCCCGCCCT